GTGCAGAGAGGTAGAGGGATTGGTTTTTGAGGAGCTGTATGTTCAGGATGAAGGACTAGATAAAGCAGCTCTGGGGAAAGGAGCTGTAGAAGAGAGCAGTGGTCGTAGTCAGGAAGAGAGGACAGAGGGACAGGAGGTGGTGGGAAGGGTCAGGATTCAAAGATGAGCAGGAGACACAGGGGATGGGGAAGGCACAGGGGCCAATGAGGAAAGCAACATATGAGAGGGGTATGCGAGATGGGAAAAAAGAGGCCAGCGAGGAACATAGTATGGCATCTAGCTTTGCTGAAGTTTCAGGGTTCCTCGATGTCCCTGAGAACCTGAAGCCCAGCAGCACAGCTTGATTCTCTTCCTCCTCTGCTGCCATTCCACATCAGACACTGTTGGTGAAGGAGGTTAATCCGTAATCCAGAGGACTGCTGTAGGACTACAGGGATCCTAGCTGTTGTGATAATCCGTGTGAGGGTATGATGAAATTCTGGGCTTCCTTCTGTTTTAAAGATTATAGTTTGGCTTTTGTGTATATGCACAATAGATTTAATAACTTTGGAAAGCTTAACTTTGCAACCTTCCTATGCCATTATAATTTTTAAGGCATAGAATTATCCAAGAGTAACAGTACAGCAGCAGTTATGATACTGCATTTTAATTAGTACTAGCTTTCAGCTTTGCACTTATTTGAACTTGGGCTGTTTGCTTCTTCATAATACAAATTCATTCCTAGTGAGAACTAATTTAGCTCCAATTTCATAGTACTCCACAGAGGAGTTTAAGGAAGCTTCAAATGAAAAGAACAGTGCAAAATGGAAAAAGTGAATCAGGTGCCTGTGATTTATGCAAGGCAGATTTCCAAGATTATTGAATTTCACTTCCAAGGTCTGTGTAGCATTCTGTAATTGAGAATAAACAGGTACTCACTGTAGTCAGTGATTCATTGAAAAGTAAGAAGTAATAAGTGTAACCAGATATTTTCTTGAAAGTACAAGAATCTGAACTACAGTTTATTGGGAAAGAAAGTATGTTACTGTTTTACAGTCATGGCAGAAAATGCATTTGTATTATAAAGTTAAGTAACTATCCTTAATAAAACTGATTTTAAATAAAAGAACATTTTTACAGCTAGTATCAATGGGCTTATTTCCCATTGCTCTGTGCTTTGTTGAGTTTTGGCTTGTACAAGGTGTGAATAAATACTAAGTATTTGTACTAAATAAAAATGGTGGCAATTTATATTTATTCACAAAAGCCTAATGACATAAGAAGGAAGGTAGAGAGAAGACATACATGAAATGATGTTCCAAATGCTGTAAACTATAAATGAAGCTGAAATCCTCAAAATGTTTTTTAGGTTGGACACACTAGTGAAATATACCTATTAAAATATACCTACCAACTATGCTATTCAAATTCCTTTTTTTTCCCCCTTATGTAACAATAAACAAATAAACTTACTTTAGGAAAATACACTTGAAGTAGCTCCCTGCTCAATGAATACATTTTCCTATAGATGTGCATATGTGGTTATGTAGTTAACCATTATTGTAGAAGGAGCTGGAGGTAGGGATATATCTCATTTCCTTGCTTTACTTTGTTTTAATAGGAGCATTTGCGTAACACAGGAAATCAGAGCTTGCTGAAACCAAGTGGCAAAATTACATCCATGGTTTTATGACTGTAGCCAGTGTATTTCTTTTTTTCATAAAATTTGTTTTCCTTTTATCTCACTCTGCATTTCTGTGTCTCTCTGTAATCCTTTTTACTGAATCCTTCTTCTCTCTGGTTTTCAATGGATTTTTTCTCTGAGCCTATTTTGAGAAAAACATTATATTTCATATTTCAATTTGAATAGGAGTTTTGCAGTGTGTGAAAAAGAATAGATTTGCTGTTAGACTGAGCCAGAACAAATCTCTACTCATTGCACTCACAGAAAGTCCCCTGGGTTATAAAGTAAGCCGCCTCAGTCATCATCCAGGTCACCCCTGGCACTTATCCCAGTTTGACAGAAAGAAGGGGAGAATTGCATTGATTTGCACTTAAAATTTCAGGTTAAAAAAAAGCACTTCGGAGTCCAGGCATTTTGGGTTTCTGTGCATGTGTAAAAATAAAGTGATATTTTAATGCTTACTATTTTTTTTTTTTTTTACTATAATTGAATTTTGGTTTGCAGTTAAACACAAGAACATGTTATTTTTGTACATAAATGTTGTTATCTTAGTGTTAATACTGATGCAGCTCGAGTATGATATCTATAAACATAACTTTTGTCCCTGTGTTTGTCACTGGTAGAAAGAGAAGCTATTACTATTAAGACTTAGCACAGAACATTAGTATATTCCAACGGCAAAATGTAACACAGTCAACATTAATTATACTACATGGAATGTTATAATAAAATACCTTCTAAAATACAGTGTGAATATAAAGAGCACCAAAAGCAGCAGCCTTTCTTCATAAATCTCACTTTAAAATAATAAAACATCACTATTCTTCCAAGGTTTCTTCCAAATAATACATTTTAAATTTAAGCTGGACTATTGAAACAAGCAAGCCACAGTCCATATTTTATTTTGTCATGATGGCACTGTATAATGAATCTACAATGTATGGATGTGGGACTAGGAGGGACCTCTGTCCTTAAAATAATGAAGGAAAACTGGTTGACAGCTGTCTATAAACACAGACACACAGTGTTGCTGTTGGGGGACATGCAGTGAATTCCTAATAACATGCGAAATGCATAAGCTCTTCTAACCTCTGTCTGCTGTGCTACAGCATCTCTTCACAGTGGGATAATGCAATAGAATGTTCTTATCTAGATAGCGGGAAAAAAGAATATTTTTAAAACACCACTGGATGCCAGCAAGGCCCACGTATATTAAAGATATATATTACTATCTTTGACATTACCTTTCCCCTTTAAATATTTCATATAACTAGTAATAGAATTTTTTTCTAAAACATTTGCCAAGAATGCTTTAAATGAAACTATCATTGGGAGTCATATACATATTTTAAAAGATTTGGGCTGCCATCCAAGAATTACATATGCCTGAAATAAATGCTTAAAAATTGTATTGCTATATCTGTGAACTACACAGAAAAAATATGAGCCTGTACTGGTTTGTTACCCTGGATTTCTACACAAGATACTTGGCCTACCCACGTCCAAAGTGCATAGAGAAGAACCAACTGTAATACACACCATGTCCCGTTTACACAAGACTTGAGGTCCTGTGTACCCTTAAAATATTATGTGTGAAAGTATAGATTTCATCGGTATCTAACAGTCTGGCTGGGGTTTGGGTCTGCTGTAAGGAATCACTTATTGTGAGATGTTTCATGCAAGCTATGGCTCTGTGGAGTAGAGCTGTTAGGGGACAGTATTATCCATCAGGATAAAGATAAGCAGGATTCCCTCAAGATCTCAAATGACCTACTGGTTACTTGAAACTCATGTGGAACCATCAGTGATCTGAAAGGAAAATATTTTACAAGCAGTACTCCTCACTATTGATTGTTTACTCAGATATTCTGATTAATTTTGGTCTTCTAGCTTCCAACGTAATAATTAATTTTTTTCTTTATATGTTATCCTTACCAGTCAAGCTGGCATCAAGTTAAGTCTTGGTCAGTGGTATCTGGAAGCTGCCATCCAATGCTTCCAATTAGGTAGTAGTACAGACCTCAGTCATGGAAGCTGACAGTATAGAAATTGCTGTAGACAAACTTGTGTGAAAGAGGTAAATGAATTGGGCAATATCTACATGAGAACGATACTTTGGATCATAATGGGAAAAAATAAAGTCACAAAAGGATGCCAGCGTTGAAAAACAAGAGGCAAACCATCTGTAATTCAACACTAAATAACAGAACTACATTTATTAAAATAATATCACTGAGACGGTTAAAATTAAACTATTTTAGAGACATTTCAGAAAGCCACAGGATGTGCTTCAAGCATTACACCTAGAGCTGCACAAGTAAGATGATTTAAAGTTGACAGTGGGCCAAAGCCACCTGCATGCAAAGGTGATCATAGCTTCATTACAATGGGATTAACTAAAGCCTGCTTAAGAAGTAGTTGTTGGGGATAAGGTGAGTGGAACCTCTGCAGTACACAGGAGAACATGGGAATTCACAGAATGATCAGAGCAATGACACCATCTGCTGCATGTTGCATTATCTAATGTATTACTGACTGTACGGGGTGGGTATGTGACAGCGCTGAGCAGCAGCAAAGCCCCCAGTCCTGCTGGTGGCCGAAGTGCAGCCCCAACTCTAGTGTGAAGGGCCTTGCTCCAAGCGTTTACAGCTACTTCTGGTGTTGTTTCTGGATTTATCTGACAGTTTTCTCGTTTCAGCAGAAGGGCTGATGATCTCAGTCTTGGTGGAATATCACGTGGAAACACACACCTGTTTTAACCCCAATGTAACAGCTGTATACAGGGAGATACACATAGGTCAGGAGTCTTTCTTGGGGAACATGTGGTTCAGTTCGGTTCAGTTCAGACTTCTCAGGCCTGCACAGATGATCAGGAAAAGGCTATTTAAGTGAATGCTCATCAGGAGACAGAAGGTAAATACTGACAGAGAGGCTGGGAATGAAACCGAGTTACTGGAAGAAAACAGGTTGGCTGAGCTTCCAGGCTCTTGTATAGAGTTTGGTAAACTGAAAGGTTTTTGCAGTAGGATGGTTTTAACTGCTTCTGGTGCTTCATTTAAATGTAAAGATGAAAGCTGTGACTGCTCCTGGAGATTTATTTTAGGAAATTTGCTTCCACATTAACAATCACCAACACAGAGCAGAAGTCTGCACCTTTTATTTTTAGACTTTTGATAAGATCTTGGTATGGAGTATAGCATCAAGTAAGAAAAAGGAAAACATGCACTTGATACATGTCCAAGCAGTTCCACTGTCACAGACCTATTCCCCCACTGCCAAGAGGCAGAGGAGTTGTTCCAATACAACATTACTCACTCTGGCTTTTTTCTTCTCTTAGGAAAAATATTTATCCCTAAAGAAAAGCCCATAGAAACCCATACAGAAGAGAAAGTGACCTTGGATCCGGAACTAGAAGAAGCCCTGGCCAGCGCTTCAGATACTGAGCTCTATGACCTTGCAGGTTAGATAATATATAGGTATGATCCCTTTATATGCCCCGTTCTTCTCTGCTTATACCTGCCGCCAGGAGTGTCTCATGATCATCTCTCAAGTACCTGCTGTTTCACCGTACAGACAGGGAGCCAACCTGTGGGCCAGACACTGCCCAAGAGGATTTCAAGCATGGCTCAATACCTGCTGTGTTTTAGACTTCGCTCATCTACTTATAATTGGTGTGGCAGGCAAGGGGAGAAGATGAACCAGCTAACGTGATTTGGGGAAAGGAAGGGTAGATGGTAGACTGCAGGCTGGGTTGTTTGCATTGTAGTGGAGACCATTGATCTTACTGCATCCATATTGTTGGTAGCATACTACTGCTACCTCCTCTCAACTCTGACATCGCAAATGGCAGGATGAACTTGTTAGAGGATGCAATGGATGAAGATCCTGCATCCATGAGGAAATTCAGAATCTAACCCCTTGAATCAGAAAATTGGTTGCCAGCTGATTAGACCTAGCTGTCTTCACCACTTCTAATTATTTTCCATTAATCCAGAATATAACCTCATGTTCTGGAGTGCATACAAAGGAAATAATTTTGAAGTATATCCACTTACATAAATAACATTTGAACATACAGTCAAACAAAGGACAGTCTGTAGTTCTTGAGCTGCCTGTGACTTGCAAGGAGTTTCTATCACGGGTATGGCATATGCTTATGCTGGTAAAAGATTATCATCTCAATTCCTACTTTGGGAAGAAGCAAACCAGCCAGGGCTGGTGAGAAAGATGTCAATGGGTGATCCCAAGACCCTGCTTAACCTAGTGTCGAGACCTCCCTATGGAACCACTGATACCTCTCCTACCTTTTCCACCCAGTTCAGAGTGGATCCTATCCTTCCCTGGGCCCTCTAGTCTATACAAAAATTTTGGTGGGAGAACTTAAACTCTATTGACAATTTTTTGATTTTCATCAGGAAAATCTAAATTAAATATTCCAGCATGTTAATCTGATTCTGGGTTAGATCAACATTAAACTCAAAACTACTGTAGCTACTATATTGTCCTATTGAAGGATGTAGAGATTATCTTCTGTACTTCTTGGCTACACCACATATTTCTGGATGCATTAGTCTTGGCTCTGAGTGAAATGTGGTGTATCACAGGAATCACAGGATTATAATGCAGCTGGCACTTCTCAGGAAGTTCATGGAATGAAGTTCCAAGTTTTGCTCAGCTCTGGTCAGTGTCCAGCTATTCATAACAGAATTTGTAGGTATTGAAGTCTAATGAAAAACAGCAAGTAGCATACCTACTGCCAAGAGTTCTGAAAATAACAGCCACTGAAGAGTCATTTGCTTACAGAACAAAGCAAAGAAAAACTTGATGATAAAAGTAAAAGCCTATGTTAAGTTAATAACTTTTATCCCATGCATGATCCTATAGAATAAAATCCAAGTAGATGATTTATGGGAGAAGCATCAGCAAACACAGCACGATTTATTCTCTGGCACTATGGAAGTTCACTTGCACAAAAGAACTTTGTCTGCAGCTTCTTTTACAGAGTTCTGTTTTCTTTTGTCATTTATTTCTTAATAGTTTCTATCCTTACTATTTATTTTAAAGTCCTGGAATATTTTCTTTTTTCTTCCCGAGCACATTAGCATCCACGTGCTTCTATAAGAAACCCCAGTGTGAATGCCAGTTTATTAAGCTAACCACACATACAGTCAGATTCTTCTCTGATATGCCAAACAATACCACAGGGAGCAATAGAGGTTCAGGCTGTATATTAGGGGGAAGAAAAAAAAAAAAATCATAGCACTGAAACAAGTTGCCCAAAGAGATTGTGGGATTTCCATCCCTGGATGTGTTCAGGATCCAGCTAGACAAAGCCATAGCTGACCTGGTTAATGTTGGCAACACTCCTGGCTTGAGGGGTAGGCTGGACAAGATGACCCGCAGTGATTCCTTCCAGCTGGCATTTCTGTAATATGCCTACTACATTGATTCAGTTGTTCAAAACTTAAATTAAAAATGTCTGTATCTCCAGTATTCAGAACTCTAAAGACTCTCCCTACAAGCAAGCATGACTCAGAGTTAACAGTTTGTGAAGGAGGTTTTGTTTGGGGAACTAAGCTAGAATTTGTAGCAGTTATTTTTCTGCAGTCTTTGTTCCTGCCATTAACATTGTATCCTGTTGCTGGTGTTTAGCTGTTCTTGGAGTGCACAACATGGTCAACAACCCCAAATTTGATGAAGGAGGAGCCCGCAGTAAGGATGGAAAAGGACCTGTGAGAAGTAAGCAAGCGGATTTCTTGTGGGCTATGTGTCATCTTTGGGGACTTGTACACCTATAGGTTGGGTATGTGGATCTAATTTAGTGTAATGTAACCGGGTCTTACCTTGATTGATCTAATTAATCATGAAGGGGAGCTCTTTAAAGTAAATACACTCTTAAGATTCATTATCTAAATGACAATAGTACTATGCAAATAAGTAATTCTTAAGGAGCTTTGGTTTCCTAGAGAGCAATATCTGGCTCTGCAGAGGTGCTTGAAATGATGGGAATATTTAAGAAGCCAAAACATATATATTTTAATTCCACTTCAGTTTAGGCATTGGACAGAAAACAGTGAGCTGTAGCTAAGAGGTGGCCCCAGCAGAGGCCAGGCCATCTGGCCCTGAGTACCCACGTCTATGCAACTGAAGAATGATCTGTAACTGTGGGGCTCAAAATGGCAGAATCGGTGTCATATCAAGCTGCATTCAGAGGGGAGCAAAGACTGCATGGATGTGCTCCTGCCCCAGCTACTCTCTCTGATCTACTACCTCCACCTTAGTCCCGTGGCAGCGCGTTTAAATGTTGTCTGTTCCGTGGCTCCTGAGGTACGTGGGAAGCATAATCATTCAGGAAATCCCTCAGCAGAAACAGCTGTAGTTACTAAAAACAAATCCAGAAATTTTTGCTCTAAAACAGACCTTTGGTGAATCAGGTCTTATCTCAGCAACCGACAGGACACTGGATGGGGGGAGAAATGGGTATGTCTGAATTCCAAGGTTTTCTTGAGAGCTGCCAAACCTCAATCCAGAGATCATCACCTCCAAGCTCTGGGATATCAAGTGAGATAAACTTTGCTTTTTAAGACAAAATTGTGGAATGCTTTTTTCTCGGGAAGCAGTACTCAAAAAAATCTTTTCTTCTTGTAAAGCCATGAGAACAGCAGCTATCTTTACCAGGGACTTTCATTTCCATCATTTACTACAGGGGAGGTGGGAAAGCAGACAGGACATTGTGTTACTTCATTTTTCTCAGGATTAAGACTGCTCTGCAAGCCTCTCCAGTGGGGCCCTGTGCAAGCTGCCATCTATCTCATAACAGGCAACTGCATGCATTACTAATCCACATAGATTTCAGATTATTTTTGTTGTACTGAGTCAAAACATCAGCTATGAGTCAGCTAAACTATGCTCCAGTCACAGACTTAAGACCCAGAAAATCACCGTCACATCACTTTATTCTTTGGTCCAAAAGCAATACCTTTCCTTAGCCAAGTGAAATGCTTCAGTAAAAGAGGGAGACATCTCAAAAGTTGCCTGTCAATGTGGCAAAACAGCACCGATATTAAAGAAACAAGATAAAAACTCGTGGGAAGCAACAAGAAGTAGAAAGTGAAAAATACTGCTAACTCTAGACTGACTATACTGTGATGTCTAACCTGAGGACAGGGTGCAAGTCTCTCCCTAGCTTCTAGCTTGGCAGGGTGTTGCCATAAGTGCAAAAAATGCTTTGCTGTTTTTTGTTTCCTTTCCATTCTTGCATCCAAGACAGGGTGATTCTCTATATGCATTTTACCCGTAGTTTTCAATTCCCTACTCCCCGTTAATCAGGCATATGGGAGGTCTCTCAGGGAATTAGTAAAAAAAAAAGTTCAGGGTGAAATGGAGCAGAGTGAAAACCAGCTGAAGGTTTGTGTATGACTTCATCTCTACTAAGAGTATGAGTTCTAAAAAATATTTTTCTTTTGGCCCATGATATGGCATGAACTTTACCCATTACACCGAGCAGAAATGCATAGTACATTGAGAACTGAGCACAAGTCTTCAAAATAACTCACTGCAACATAAAATAAAAGGGTCTAAATATACTTGTGGTCAGTAACGTATTCCTTTCTTGCCTCTAGTGGCCTGGGTGGTCAGGAGTTATAAATTAATCTCCACAACTATATGGATGGGAATTAGAAGTACTAATTTTGTTCTAAGCTATGATTTTTATGCATCTTTGAAAATATTTATAGCTCATAGCTGCCAACATTAAAGACTGTATCTCTTTGGCACACGAATACTCAAAGACTTCATAAATCTTGGTGCTGGCAGATCGACTAGGTTTTCCTGGTTTGATAGCTTTATTATTTAGAAAGTGCAGCTGTTGCAATTTCACAAGAGCTAACTGAATTTATAGTAAGGTGGAGAGCATCAGCCTAGAAAAGGAACCTGAGAGGCCTCCTGATCACATTCCTTTATGTTAGCACAGTCTATACATAGGTGCAGTGACATTTTGTCACTAATATAATGGGCAAGCTCTGAGCACATCTTCCTTTACAGGTGTTAGACAAAGAACAAAGCAGCCCTTGCAGTATATTACATCCTATACAACAGTCTTTAAAGCTGCTTTGGCTCAGATTAATTGTACTGGGACTTCTGTACAGTCAGGAGGAATTTGCCTGGGAGGATACTGCCCAGCCGCGGTGACCGCAGCCTCCAGTGACATGCTCTGGGTGCAGAGAAGGTGCAAAGGGCATAGCAGGAATAACAGCGCTGATTCTTCTGTTCCAAGTTTTGTGGTTCACATAAACCCTTTCTTGAACACTACAGTGCAAACCTAAATGGGAGTTGAAAAGCCAGACGGTTAGTGATGATGCCTGTTCCTCACATCAACATTTCATGAGATCTTGTGTTGCAGATGTGGTGAAAGGTGAAAAGGTCAAGCCTGTCTTTGAGGAGCCACCTAATCCAACCAATGTAGAAGCAAGTTTACAAAGGATAAAAGCAAATGATCCTAGTCTCACAGAAATTAATCTCAACAACATAAAGGTAGGTGCTGTGGTTTCATTTATGTCATCATAGGAGAGTTTACTCAAATATTTCTGAAACCCTTACTTTTTATCTTCAAATTTTGTGTCTCTCTCTACTGTTCAGGTAAAGCAGGACACACAGGGAAGAGGTTTGGAGGGAACTGTTGCCGAGGCTCCAAGCTCATCAATGCCCAATATTGAATTAGATGCCAATTAAAAGCCCAAGAGGCGAATCCTTCTGGCTGCCTTTCTTTAGCAGATTGTAAAGCAAGATATCTCATTAGCACTATATAATCATCACTGGCCAAATTCAATTAGCCCACATGTGCAAATGGAGGAGGAGCTGGCACATGGAGAGTGAACAACTGGCAGCAAAATAGGAAAGTAGCTCAGAGATCAGTCACGTGCTTGTGTTGGCCTGGCCCAGTTAACGGCAGTGCTGACATGGCATCCTAGCACAGGTCTCCACGGGTCTCTGAAGGCCAGTATAAGCAAAGGATGCTTTGTCCATTCTGAGATACTCTTAAAAGCATCAGGGATGTTTAAATTGCATAGGCTGTGGCTATTGATCAATAAGTTTGGTAATAACCAAAATCAATGTTTAGCAATGCGACTGGCTTTCCTAACTACTCAATTTATCTTCTTGATGTAGAATATTCCTATTCCAACACTGAAAGAATTTGCAAAAGCTTTGGAGAGCAACACACATGTGAAGACATTCAGCCTTGCAGCTACTCGAAGCAACGACCC